TTATTTATTTTATTTTTTTTTTTATTTTTTTTTTATGTAGACATGCAAAATAATGTCTTGAGTGCCACATTTTTATGACGACATGTCAAGTGCAAAAATAAGTTGTTGCGACCTTTGCTTTCTATTGTATTCTCTTTCTGGTTTCATTCTGCACTCTGTCCAGCTGTTTTTAAATCCAAGTGTGCATCCTGTGAGAATGGCTCTGTCTGCTCTCAGTACTGTGGTTAGGCAAGGCACTAGTAGTAGTATGAAAATGGTACTTCAATTCTTGAATTGCTCCAGTAGTGAAAAAAAATACTTTTTATAGGATTTACATAAGGGTTAGGTCATGATTAATTCTGTATTTTTTTATTCCATTATTTTTTATATATATATAATTAATGCACTAAATTAATACATTAAATTAACAGCTATAATTTTATTGAATTTAAATTAACACTTCTTCCACAAACTTTCTAGAACCCCTTGCAGTTATAGGCCCCTGGGGGTTTGAGAATGCTCCACTACATTATTTAATTATTTCATTATTCAATTTATTTATTTATTTTTTAAATCTATCAAAGTAATAACTCTTCAGACTTGAACTTCCTTATGCATTCCGTGTTGGTTTTTATCACTTACTTGCTTTGGCATGGCACATCAACACATTTATATCTACAGTATCAAGAGTTTATCATATTTCATCATCATTTTTCACTTTTCTTTATTCATTTTCTATCATTGGCTTGATATCTACTGATTAGCTGCATCTCTTCTGCAAACTTCATCCAATCATCTCATTATCCTTCATTTTCGTACTCTTCTTTCTTCCTTCCTGTGAGGATGTGCCAATCAACTAAAAGATCTTTAATCACAGGAGCCAGCATTTCGTAATATAGTTGTTGTCATTCAATTTCAGGGTTCCGCCCTATCACACAGCTCTTCTTCTCTGATGTCACTTCTGATTCATTGACTGTGGCATGGAGTGCACCGGCACCGCCTGCTGACGCATTCATCTTGAACTACAATGCTCAGGACTCCAGTGATGATTCTGAGATTGCTCTAGACGGATCCAAAACCAGAATCACCCTCACTGGTCTCCTGCCCTCCAGGCGGTACACTGTTACCTTGGTTACCATGCATGGCAATGTGACCTCAAAGCCAGTTATTGGCTCAGTCACAACAGGTATTAATACTAATGAATATTATGTCCAAGGATATTATGTCTGAAGTTGTTAAGTGTGCTTATTTAATGTTTGAAAATAGGGGTTTCTCAGGGTTGATTTTACATATTTTTTCCCCAAACTAAGGCCAGTGCACTCAAAAACAATTAACACTTTTCCTAAACAGACTGTACATTTTTCTTGATCTCATGCAAATTGCATGTATCATTTTCATGATTCATTTCAGTTTGCTTTCAAAAACAGTTCATATGGAGAAACTAAAGTAATGCTATATTCATGACGTGCTGTCAAATAGCATCATATTAATACCTGCTGGGTTTGTAATGCACACAGCACAGGAAGTGCAATTTATGAAATTGCTCACACAACTATCATGACTTTGCTATTTATATAGAGACATCTGTGATGGTGGACTATCTATTCTCCATTCGCCTATTCTCCATTTCTGAATCCACTTGTTGAGATCTCTTTCAAGATATGAAAAGTGTTCAACCGCAGCCTTATGACAAAGTAACTTTTCTCCAAGCAATAAAAGAGACCTGCAGAGCTATCTGTGCCATTCATTGATTCAGCATTCACACTGTTCTTTCCTTAAGTCCACCACTTGAAAAACAAATATTGTTTGATGTGAATAAAATTCAGTGGCTTAAAAGAAATTAGAGGCTTAGTAAATATGCAAATTTATAGAAATTCCAAGAAGAATAATGATCTTCATTGAAAATAAAAATTATAGTTCACACTGAAGTGCTGAAAATAATGCAAATACTACTGAAAATTAACCGTTTTACCAAATTACACCACTTGAAAAACAAATATTGTTTGATGTGAATAAAATTCAGTGGCTTAAAAGAAATTAGAGGCTTAGTAAATATGCAAATTTATAGAAATTCCAAGAAGAATAATGATCTTCATTGAAAAGTAACTGAAAATTAACCGTTTTACCAAATTAAGAGTCTGAGTGGTTGTGTTCATTCTTTTGAGAGCATTGGCTTTAGTTTGGGAAATCGATTAAGGAAATCATAAAACAAGTTAACGTGCATTTTTCCTAGGGTACACTTTAAAGTTTATTCAAAAATGACAATCATTTACTCACCCTCAAGTTGTTCCAAACCTGTATAAAAGTAAGATATTTTGAAGAATGTTGGTAGCCAAACAGTTTACGGTAGCCATTGGCTTCCATATGGAAAAAAACACTATGGAAGTCAATGGCTAACGTTAACAGAAGTGGAGGGTGATTAAATTATGACAGAATTTTAATTTTTGTTCCTTAAAGGTTTTTGCGTTTGTGTCAGTCATTTAAAAGTCATTTGTGACCGTGCTCAAAACAGGATCTCAAAACAGGATTTTCTCATTATGATTCCTGCACACAGCTGCACAGCAGATTTTTCACCCTTTTGTGTCTTAATTAATTCAACGATATGTAATCCTCCCCTAATTACCTCTCTCTGAATGTGGAGGTGTCAAGAATTATTCAGCTGTTCTGTCAGTGAACTGATATTTGCAGTTGCCAAAGCAGATATTGTCTCGGAGCCATTTCTAAACATAGAAATGAACTCTGCAGCAGGCTACCTGCACAGCAGCTTGATTAGTTAAATAAAACATGTTTACATTTTTACTTTGCTTCATATTATTATTATTATAATGACATGATTTGTGCATGAACACTTTAAGTACTTGCACATGTTGTCGTCTAATCTTTTATAAAGCCTGTTAGCTTAGAAATGTGTTTAGTACATTTTCAGTATGTTCTTGCTTTAGTTAGAAACCATATTATTTTCACACATTAACGCTTCTTTACATTACCGTAAGTGAAAAAAAGGTCACCGTATGCTCAACAATAAGAACAAGAATAAATGCAGATGGAACGGGCTGAAAAAGAAGTTGTTCTTGGTGCCCTTTATACAAAGTCTGAAAATATATTTATTGACTGCTCTACTGAGTGGAAAATAAATTAAGATATGCATACATGAATAATCAACTCATTTACTGAGTAATATTTTACCCTGAAAGCATTTAAATGACATTGACAACCTGTTTATGAATCGCCACCCATAGTTTATGAATTGAATGCATTAGTCTAATGAATAAGGGGAGGTGTGAATGGCTTTTCACTCGTTTTAAGGACTGGCTACTTCAATAATGGCAAGAGTAAATCAGTTTATTTCCCTCCCAGTTGTCAGAATGCTCCAGAACCACTGTTAGTCTGTTTAACTGTTTTCAGAGGCAGTGTAACCTAAGAGCTATTGGGACAGATAAACAAATCATGAAAGAGTCCCTGCTGGACAGCGACGGATAATAACAATGCAAATGTCCTTGTCAAGAGTGTCTTGTGTCCAGCATACTCATACTCCTCCTCTCCGGGCCTGTTGACAAACACAAATAGGAAATAACCCTGCAATGGAGACTATAATAATAATAATAATCAATTGTGTAGTGTAATTAATATAATATTTTAATCAATATTACAATATATTTGGGTGGCCTTATGGGGGCCGACATTGGGATCTCATGATGACCAACTGAATATTACTCATTGTTATCTTGGTAGCCTCTTGTTATTGGATATTTTTACTTCAGGAATAAGTTAATCATGTCTAACTGTGAATAGTGCAATTCTACAATCAGTGCAACATTATTGAGTGCAGTCCTTCACTACCGTTCAAAAGTTGGTATGATTATTAATGTTTTTACAGTAAGTCTCTGTGGCTTACCAAGGCTACATTTGTTTGATCAAAAATACAGTAATATTGTGAAATATTATTACAAATTGAAATAACAGTTTCCAGTTTATGTATTGTAAAATGTAATTTATTCCTGTGCTGGAAAAGCTAAATTTTCAGCAGCCATTACTCCAGTCTTCAGTGTCACATGATCCTTCAGAAATCATTGTAATATGCTGATTTGGTGCTCAAGAAACAAATTGTGCTGCTTAATATTTGGTGGAAACTGAGATACTTTTTTTTCATAATACAGGAATGGACCCCCCCAGAGATATGACTGTGCAGTACGTCACAGAGGAATCTGTAACCATTTCATGGATTCAACCATACGCACCCTTTGATTACTACAAAATGTCTTACCAATCACCAAAAGGTACTTTCTCTGCCTTATATTTAAATCATGTCTAATTTGAACAAATTAGAAAAATAAGTCAGCATTACTATTTGTCATTTGTCATGTAATTGGCTCACAGGTAGGATGGACAATGTGGTGATTGACAATGATGTCACCAACTACACCTTAACCAGCCTCCATCCAGCAACGGAGTATGAAATCAAGCTGAACGCAGTGAGAGGAAGCCAAGAGAGCAAGGTCATCACCACTACTGTCTTCACAGGTATGTCTGTTCTCCGTCAATTACTAGGACACATACTAATCATATACTACTGTACATTCTGCAGACTGGTATTCTGATTTACCCTATGAAATGTCTTTTAGTATTTCGTGAAGGATGTGCTCTCATAGCCTCGTTTGTCACAGAACTTTGATTTGATAGAAATATGGATGACAGTCTGAGGAATGATGCACATCATTTACCATGTGATGAGTACCATCTCTCACCCTGTAAGTTCCGCCCGTCCTCTGGCAGGCTGCCAGCCATCTCGTCGAAGTGAAATGAAATTTTACTAATGGAATCAGTGATCAGCAGAGATGCTTACCTGCCATCTTATTTGAACAGCACCACACACGGCGGCGACAGGCAGCTAGTACTATGGATTGTGTCTCATTCACTAATTGTGGGCAAGTGTTCATACTTACATGCACAGACAAGAAAATGTGTGCTCACAGAAAATGTCCATCAGATGCACAAAATGTTGTGCATAAAGTTTCTACCCTGTTGAGTAATGCTGTTTATTATTCTAATGAGGTTTATGCTAAGTAGTGTACAAGTTTTAATGTATTTTAGTGTACTCGAGTGTAAAATATATATATATTTTTTTTTTTTTGTGAATGATATGTAGAATGTTTTTATGTTTTTATCTATAAAATATATTTTAGTATATGTAATTATAATCATCTATATTATGTTATATATCTACATATAAAATTAGTTGAATATTAATAATTATCAATGCATTTTATTTTTTTGAATTAATAATATATAAAATGTTTATTATTATTATTATTATTAAAAATAAATATGATAAAATACATAAAATACAAATAAAACAATATTTAATATAAAAAAATATCACACAAATAAGCAAACATGCAGTTAGTGAATGAGACCCAGTATTACTGAAGCCAAGTGAACCTGTTCTCAGTTAATGTTAAAAGCTTGTCTTCAGAATAGAATAGTGCTTTAGATTTAATATAGGAATATTTAACTTGTGTCTCAATAGACACATTTTACAGAACAGTCTTTGTTCCAGCTGTGCATTATATCACTGAAATAAATTAGTCTATCTCGAGCCTGGGAAGTGAACTAATTAGTCATATCATTTGATGTAGTACAATAAAACAAAACAGATGCTGGCCTTTGCTTAAACACTGCTGACTCGCTTAACTAGGTAAGAAGTGTTTGCGTATACATCAAAACAGAGCTACACTCCCCATCGCAGCTTAAAGCCTGACAGTTTTGTTCAAAGCTAATCAAAATATGACAAGCAAACAATCTCAAGCTGCCCGTGTTGACAGAAATCTTGCCAATGCTGTAACAATGCAAAGTGACAAGCGGCTCTTTTAAAGGGGTCCTATTATGCTTTTTCACTTTTTCAAGTTAGTCTGTAATGTTGCTGTTTGAGCTTCATTTGATACAGGAACTATTCGAGCCGTTCATGCCAGACTAGGGAGAGAGGTGTTGTAATAATGTAAAATATGTGAAAAATAATGTGTTTTTCGAACAACCTAGTATGAGAGCCTGATCTAGTACACCCCCAAAACAAAATCAAGACTTTGTAAAAGAGCATAATAGGACCCCTTTAAAATGTATCTTTTGGAAACAGCTTATTATTAATAGGATATAAAAAAAACATTGTGGCTTATTTCAGCTGTTATGTAAAGGGTGACAATAGGGTTGATGAAACATGATGGATCTGGTTCAATGCTGTGTTCTGGTTCACAGCTCTGCCTAATGACCTGCTGAGGATCATCAAGTTCACGTTCACTGCATAAGGGAAAACTGATATTCTCCTCCTAGTCTGTCACCGTAGGGCATGTCAAGACTTGGTAAAGCAGAGAGAGGGGAAGGTGCGATGGGGAATTGGGGGATTTTGCCTCTGAACTGCTGTCAGGCAGCGGAGATCAGCTTTTCTGGAAGGTTGTGAGAGGACCTACAATTTCTTGGAACAAAGTCAATGGTGCCTAATGGGAGGGTCAGCTCTCTACAGCTGTAGAAGTGATATGACTATTGCCAGTGAGGCTGGGAGAACAAACATGTGTGTGGTGGGACAGAATGGGAAGATGGTAATGTGTGATTACAGTCCACTGACCTCATCTAAGAGGACATACGCTATAGTGCAAAGAGGAGAGTGAGATTTTTCCTGTCTGAAATAAGGAAGGCCATCTGTGAAAGTCACAGCATGGATAGAGGATTTCGGAGAACAACATTTCGCATTACTCACTTGCATCGAAATGCTGTTGAGAATGAGCTCTGCACACATTTGACTGTCTAATTTCTCCCTCGATGTCGGCTAATTAAGGAAATTGTGATCTTCTCCAGCCAGATAATCACAACAAATTAGTTCCAAGCTGCTGAGGTGCTCTATTTTTAAATTGCCGGTGAATATCGTTTGCAGAGGAAAAAATGGTGAAGATGAGACTGCTGCCAATTACCTTGGCTGAGCTTATCTCAGACTGTCTTTCTGTAACTTGCACGTAATCCTCTGTTCCACACAGCTATGGACATGCCTATGGACCTCACTGCATTGAATGTTACACCTCAGGGGGCTCTGCTACGTTGGAACCCCCCTGTTTCCAGTGTTGATAACTACGTACTCACCCTCACCCGTAATCAAGGTATGTGGAGACCTGATGAAGGGAAACAATCCTGTCAATTTTTTATCAGCATCATTTCTCTTTAACAAATGCAGTAGCCATAAATACCAAATGAAATGTAACTATTTTTTTTCACTGGACAAAGATATGCTGCTTATGCTGCAATTTCAGGTCTGAGTGCGGCAGGAAAAAAGCAAAACAGATATGCAAATAGGTCTCACTAAATGGCAATAATAAAATACAATTAACCATATTATCATGCATAGTTGGAATAGCAAAATGAATTGGCTTATCGCCTTTTAAAAAGGCTGAAGAGAATGCTTTTTGTGTAATTAGTTTTTTGACATCAAAGATACACAGTCAAACTTTTGCAGTGAATGCATCTGTAACTTGGTAGATGCTAGCCAAATTACACTCTTAAAAATAAAGGTGCTTCAAAAGGTTCTTCAAGCGATGCCATAGAAGAACCATTTTTAGTTCCACAAAGAACCATTTAGTCAAAGGTTCTTTAAAGAACCATCTCTTTCTTACCTTTTTGTAATCTGAAGAACCTTCTTTCGCCACAAAGAACCTTTTGTCAAACAAAAAGGCTCTTCAGATGTTAAAGGTTCTTTATGGAACCATTTAGACAAAAAGGTTCTTCTATGGCATCGTGAAGCACCTTTATTTTTAAGAGTGTAGGTAGATGCCAACATTAACCAGTTTCTTGGAATCCTCACATATCATTAGCAAATCTGTGCAAGATAGAAATAAACGAATAAATAAACAAATAAAAATACAACCCACACTAGTTACTACAATGAGGATAAATATGCATTTGTCAGTTTTTTTTGAGAGCGTCCAAAAAGTACATTTAAGGGTCGTTCACACAAAGAATGATATGTATAAATATGACTATAACAATAACTATCAGCTTCCACACCATCAGACAATGTTCTGTTTATTATAAGCATATTCATAGTTATGTCATCTGCCGCTTTAAACAAGGATGGATTATGTTTGGCTGTCAATGTATTTATTGTTCATCAGCTGGAAAAAAAATGTTTGTTGTAGTGTGGACATCACCAATCTCACATAATTAGAATGATTATTAAAACTTTATAGTTACAGCTATCATTATACTTGTCACCATTGGTGTGAACATCCCTTTAGAAACCAGAATTGTCATTTGTGGTAATAGTTGTTTATTTTGGTGGTCCAATGCAGTTCACAGTAATAGGGTGTAAGGGAAACAGGTACATTTAGCTTTAAGGGAATTAATTATTTTATAGGGAATTTTGACAGGATCACTGTTTTACGGCTGATCAACTGAATCGGCCAGTGAATTAACTGAAATTTTGTGTCATATTTCACTGTTTTAATTCATTTTGAAGAACACTGAATTGGTAAATGCATGTTCACATTTAGTCTAGAACTGCAGTAACCATCATGTTTACACAGTGCACACAACGCCTCTGCACTTACTTCCTATTTCTCTCAACATGGGAACAGGAGAGCTGTCAGTCAATAAATGGGAAACAAATTTGATTTTCATTTATAATGCATTTTTCTCCTTATTATTGAAATGCAAATTTAAAATACATAGGTTTATAAATTTTTGCATACAAACTGGCAGTTCTTCACTTGTTTTTGCACTAATGGATGTTATCTTTCCAGTTATGGCAGACACCTTCTTAGTGGAGGGTAACAAGCAGGAGTACCAGCTGAGTCAGCTCATCCCCAGCACCACCTACTCAGTGGCTCTTTATGCCACTAAAGGTCCTCTCACCAGTGGCACCGTCATCGCCAACTTTGTCCCACGTAAGTGCTCCATCTCTGTTCCCTGTGTTCTAATTACAGGGGGGCTCGAGGAGGTCAAGACCCCCTAGTTCCAGTTATATTCCCCTCGTTATCTTAAAACAGGCCTAACGGCCTTTACCCCAGTTGCTGAGGAATGTAAGAGTTCAGGTAAAGAAGTACAGGAGGATCCAAGAACAGAGTCCAAACAAAAGAGAAAGAGTATCCTCTTTTATCACTGCATTAGCCATGTGACTAAACCAAACCTGAGACATTCAAAATGATACATTAGATAATGGTTAAATGTAGCACTCGGGGTCAAGACAAGAAAGTTTTAAAAGGTTGGAGTGTTCTGCTGTTTTTGTTGTACTTTCACTATGAATGACTTTTCGCTATGTTTTTATTTGTGTATACACAAACTTTTTTTTCTGAAAGAAAATCATACTTTTATTCAGCAAGGACACCTTAAAAGTGATCAAAAGTAACAGTAAAGACATTTATAATGTCACAAATTATTTCTATTTTTTTAAATAAAAATGCTGTTTATTTCTATTTTAAAATAAATGCTGTTCATCAAATCCTCAAAAAAATGCATCGTTTCCGCAAAGATACCATGCAGTACTGTTTTTAACATTGATAATAATAGGGAAAGTTTATTGAAGTCAACATGAAGAATGAAGAATGATTTCTGAAGGATCATGTGACACTGAAGACTGGAGTAATGGCTGCTGAAAATGCAGCTTTGGCATCACATGAATAAATTATATTTTAAAATATGTAAAATAAATGCAGCTATGGTGAGCATAACAGAAAAACATAGATTTTAAAAAATCCCCCAATCCCCCAACCACAAATGGTAATGTAGCTGAAAGTGCTATGCATTGACTGGCAGAGGTAACTAATTTACTACTAGTTTAGTAGCCAAAACCATTCAAGGAACAGATTAACTGTAGCGTTAATATAGTGGGATATTTATTTACTGTACATCACTGTCAATGAACCCAAAAGCTTAAATATAACTTGAATACTGGGAAGGAGTGATGTTTTTATAACTATCAAATCATAGTATTTTTCACTTTAGTGCTGTGTTTCTCGAACCTGCTGCTGATGGCTTACATTTTAGGTGTTTCACTAACCTGATGCACCCTCACAATGTCTCCAGGTCATGGAGCTCTGTACTAATGAGCTGGTGAGTTGAATCAGACACCCAAAATGTGCTAAAGTGAACAGGATTGAGAAACACTGGTTAAGTGGCAAAGTTGCTGATTTCATTTCAGTATTATCTACAACTTGTTACACACATTTCCAGTATTTAAATTTGATTGGACAACCAGCGTCCCAAGTTGTTATTTATGTTATTTAACCTATGGTTACGCATTACCTGCAGGCGTGAACACATTCGGTAAAACAGCACTCATGCTTGAATATTCAATAGACAGCTGCAAGATTAAGCACTTCTCTAATTGTACTATCATCTTCTTCTAGTTTAGCAGAGGTGAGATTCAGATGTGAAGCAGAAACAAGGCCGTGACTTTATTTTTGTAGTTTGTGTAACAAAATCCTGATGTCAGCAATGCTCCAATTCCCATGTGAGAACAGAGAAGAGATCAGCATCACTACCCATCTTTCCTCACAGTGAGGCTGTCCACAGAGAGAGGTGAACTGTCTTTCCCACACAGAAGACTGAACTAGAACAAGCTGCGGTTTCATTTCAAGCTGCTTTATTCTGCATTGAAACTTTCAAGGCAGACCGCTTTCAGATGCATTAGACCTCAACTTTAATCAAATGGCCCTCCCAGAATACTTCATTAGTTTGGATTGTTTAGAGGAAATTAATTTGCACATAAATGTGTCACAGGCCATTGGCTTTGCAACCTCAGTGCCAGCTCAGTGACATGCAGAATCTTGACACATAATCGCTTGATGAGGTTTGTTGTGTTCATTTGCTTTCAAACTTTTTTTTTCAGCTTCTTAATGACAATTTCATTCGGAGATAGTTCTGCTCTAATAAGAGTGGATTTAGATCCTGCCATGCTCTGATAAAAATGTTTCATTGCCTGCAATGCCATACCATCAAGAATCTGCAATCCGTTTAAGAATCTGCCAGCTCCCACCCTGAGGGAGGTGAAGTGTCAGAGATGCATCATTTTGGCATTTATGAGGAGGCTTATGGAAGCTTAAGGGGATAATTAAGATTACAACAACTAACAAATTTCATGCCGATTTCAGGATTAGTGCTGTCTGTCATTTTGATTTAGATTACAGTTCTAACTTCATCGTTAAAGAGATTAAGGTGAGGACAGGAATATGAATATGTTGCTCAGATATGCACATGAACATCTCTCCATTTCTCCACGGTTGTATTTCATTCTCGATAGGTGCATTTGGTTAGTTTGCCTGCTCAGTCAGTTTAAAGGGGTCATATGATGTTGCTAAAAGGAACATTATTTTCCATTGTTCATTAGATTTTGAGATGTGGCCATTGCACTCAAAAATCAATGACAATTTGCAGTTAATTCTTGGATGAATCATTCAATATAAGATCAATAACATGCATTTACAAAATATATAGGGTGAATTTTCATTACGTCAACTTTTTTACATTGTCACTTACTTTTTTTTTTAATGCAGGCATATGAAAATTACTCCTTTGAAGAGCTTCGCTTCGCCTCACCGACACCAAAGAGGTTCAAAGACTATTTTGCTACCTGTCATATATAAATTACAAACAAATTCAAATGTAAGACCGGGTTTCATGTTCAGTGTGTTCACTTTTTACTCAGACCCAGTGAGAACATGCTTATCCGGGCAAACACAGACGGTACCTACAGCGCTAACTGGACCCCTGGTGCTGTTGGGCTGTACACCATTCATGTGACCATCGATGGCATTGAGATTGGTAACTGCTTTTCAGGATTTATTCATCTTCATATTAGAGCTCTGTATTTGGAGGGTGTCTAAAGTGGTTCATGTATGTTTCTAGTGCTCAAATAGGTTTTCAAAATCAGTAGTTTCTTCAGAAAATTAGAAAAAAAAGAAAATATGATTTATAGTTGTTTTGCATGAAGTCTTTGTTTTTGTTTTTTTAAACCAGTGTAGTAACACTTGATATTACAGAGCTCATGAAATGGGTTTGCTGACTAGAATAATGTTTGTTCAGATGCTGGTCTGGAGGTGGAGGTCAAAGATCCACCCAAAGGAATGATCCCTCCTGGCACTCAGATGGTCAAACCTAAAGCTGAACCTCAGCCTAGCAAGGTGAGTTCCCAAATTCCCAAGCGACTACGGATCAGGTCTGACCACTTCAGCCATTCAATTTATATACCATTCAAAAGTTTGGGTTGGTAAGATTTTTTTATGTTTTTTGAAAGAAGTCTCTTATGCTTGCTAAAGCTGCATTTATATAAAAAAAATACAGTAAAACGGTAATATTGTTAAACATTCTTACATTTAAAATGTTTTTATTTTAATATATTTTTGAATGTAATTTATTCCTTTTTATTTTCATCAGCTAGTACTCCAGTCTTCAGTGTCATTTCAATCTTTGCAAATCACTCTAATATGCTCAAGAATCATTTCTTATTATCAATGTTGAAAACAGTTTTGCTGCTTAATACATTTCTCAGTATTTGTTGGTGGATTTATTTGAAATGCAAATCTTTTGTACCATTTTTGGACAATTATACATGTCTTTATTTTTTTACTTTTACTTTATTGTGCATGTGAACAGAAATGCAGAATGAAATTTTATATAACAATCGCTCTACTAACAAGAAGCGTGCCAGAAATGTGATCTTATAAATTGTACAAATTTCAACAACATGGAAAACTGACGTTTGTCATATTTTATACATAGTCAGTTATATATATATGATATAACACATATATATATATGTGATATAATACTGGGTCTCACTGCATATGTATGCTTGTGTTTAAAACCAGAATGACTTTTCATATATATATATAAATAATATGTTCTGATATGACTTTCTACACCTCCATAACTCTGTGATAGTTTTGTATGTTTCTTATTAAAATGTTGTCTTGCCTGCCTGTGCAACAACAGTTCATATCTAAGACATTTCATACTTTCAGTTCCAGAGAATGAGAGGTAGGATCTGAGCAGGAGATCTGTATTTTTTTAACACACTGAAGAAGAAAAAAACAATACATCTTTTGCACATAGACAGCTGATGATGGCTTTTGAAGACATGGAAAAGAAGCATCAGCATTTGTAGTATGAAAGGAAAGTGTGTGTGTGTTGAGGTTGTGTGCTGATGCTCTGCTGAAGGGAGAGTGGCATGTTGACTGATAAGAGATCACATTGAGAGACAGGATGCCGGTGAACACACACTAATTGTCTTCTCTCTGAAGTGGATCTGTCACTGTGTCTGAAACATACACTACACGCAACCATGTGATTTATTTTGTCCTCAGACTAGCGACTAGTTAACATGCCTCCAGCAGGTGTGCTGACTCAGCTCACACTATACACAGACAATAACATCAGATATAGAAAAAACAGCTGAATGTCAGGTGGGGGATGGTCAGTTTAAACATGCTCTGTTAGTGTAGCTTGTCGGTTTAAACCAAGCAGGTCTGAAATACCTGTAGTTTATTAATAGCTATAATCTGTTAGCATTCCCATTCATCTCAGTAGCATTTTCTGGGTATAAGACCCCTGTGAAACCTGCCGTCTTTGCTCATGATTGCTGGCGCCAGGTTGTTTTGAGCCTCGGCCATAAATTCCAAGTGACTAAAACAAAACAAATCAACAAATAAAGCTAAACAAAAATTGAGCACTTTCAAAGTATTATATACATAATATACTTTTTTTTTTTTTTTTTGAAAGAAATTAATACTTTCATTCAGCAAGGATACATTAAATTCATCAAAAGAGACAATAAAATTATTTATAATGTTACAAAGGATATCTATTTCAATATATTTTTTTATAATATTTATTCTTCTGAACTTTCTATTCATCAAAGGTTCCTGAAAAAGCAGATCATAGTTTCCTCAAAATTAAGCAGTACAACTGTCTTCAACATTGATAATTATAAGAAATGTTTCTTGAAAACCAAATCAGCATATTAAAATTATTTCTGAAGGATCATGTGACAATGCTGAAAATGCGACTTTGGCATAAAAGGAATTACATTTTAAAATAATAAAATAGCAAACAGTTCTTTTAAATTGTATATTTACAGTATTACTGTTTTGATCAAATAAATGCAGCTTTGGTGAGCAGAATGTATACACACACGTGGCAGAAACGTTTGCAAGTAAGCTAAAACATTGTACATAAATTCAACATAGAAAATTCATGTTTTAAATTGACGTGTCATATTTTATTATATACATTGTCAGCCACCAAGAAAACACTCACAATAAACTATAAACAAAATATACACTCAATAAACAAACGTAATCAAGTAAATATTATTATCTGACCAAAAAACATTTACTGTAAACCATGTTTTTGAATCTATGTATCCAGTAGACTTCTTTACAGTCATTTAAGAAGTTAAGCCTATGTAGTGTAATGTTGCTTGAAAACCTGGTAATGGGACTTTAGTCTCTTCAATCTTTGTTTAAACAGCCATGGATGCACCCCAGAACCTGACAGCTAGTGAGATTAACCATCGAAGTGCCCTCGTATCCTGGCAGCCGCCCATCGTAGACATCGATAACTACATGCTGACCTACAAAGCAGCGGATGGCAGTCGAAAGGCAAGCATAATATGGATTTTACCTTGAGCAATGAATACAGCTGGAAGTGTTATAAATAAATATACATGCTTGCTGTGTAAACATTTTTAAACTTGATTGTTCATATTTCTATGCTCATTGCAATTCAGAATTAAACTGTACTTGATGTACAGCCTGAACTTATAATAACTTTACGATCTAACATAAACCACTTCCCACAGAGATCAACCATCTAAGGGAGCTGTTAGATCTTCCTATCGGAATAGCTCAGTTTAATTAAATTCTTTGATGTTGTTCATTAATATTAATGAAATCATTTAACAAAGTCATTCCAGACACAATATGCCTATTAAAGACTTCCCTGAAATAATTTCTCTGAAATGATACAGTAGATACAGTATATATTTCAAATAATTGCATTACTTGTAATGCATGATCACTGTCCTATAATCTGTTTTGGACATGAGCCTGATGGGAAAATGCAATGATGATAATGTTGGAAATGTTGGAAATACAAAAGGTTATGGATTATAATCTTAAGATTTATGTTGTTATACACAGAGACACACAATCAATGAATGCAACACAGACCGCTCTGACCTAGTAGCCCACTGTTAGTGTTTGTATCTGTCCAGTGGGTGTCAGTGGTGCACAGATGATATAAACCCAGCTGATGCATCTTAGACGTAAAAGCTTTCTCTTTCCAGCCAGGTTGGCATCTAATGCTGAGAGTTTTGATAATAACAGGCAATTTGGGAATTTTTCAAAGACTTAGAATGCATAATAATAGAAATAATACAGTTTCTGCATCCACCATGTGTTGCCTCAACCTGTATTTCAGATTCAGGGTTGTGAAAGAATCAAGATGAGAACATAAAAATGGGTTCCACACTGCTATAGATAGCAGCTTCCTTTTTATTAAAATTACCTGCTCAATATCCTCTGCATACAGAGCAACCTTGATGCGACTTCATTAAAACACTACTGTGCTGTATAATTCACATTACACATTGCTTAAAATGTGACTTTTCCTGGAAAAGGATGACTATTGAATCAAATGTTTCATATTTCATATACCTCAAGGTCACATGTGCCATCGTCCATTCAGGTCCCTGGTGAATCCTCAGAGTAAAAAGTCTGAAAAGGCACAAAAATGTATGGCAGATTAGTTCGATAAAAAGAGGGGAAGTGAACAGTCATGAGCCGAAAACCAAAATAGAAATGGCTTCTCTCCCCAGTAGCACCAGGGCCTGATAAGACTCTTCCTCCCCCATCGTGCGCTTTAGAGCTGCCAATCATAGTGTAGAAAAACACAGGGAGGAAAGGCAGCATTGTATGAAAAGCACCCAACAGTAGCAGCTTGGGATCACAACAATTTGTCAGACAATTCCTAAAGTGATTGTGATCTGTTTTCTGTTTGTTTTTGAGGAATATCTTTCCTACCCACAATGCAAAGAGCGGCTGTTCTTTGTACTATCTCTTGGTAGGTTTTCCACAAAACCGCTCTGCTGCTGAGCAGTTCTTTGTTTAGTTTTGGTCTACGGTGTTTGAACAGAGGTAATGTACTAATGCCTCTCCGTGCCTGCTGATCAGTAGACTGTGTTTGATTGTGTTTTAGGAGCTGATCTTAGATGCTGAAGACACATGGATCCGTCTCGAGGGGCTGGGGGAGACCACCGAATATACTGTGAGACTGCAAGCTGCTAGAGGAATAGAGACCAGCGCCATTGTTTCTACATCGTTCACAACAGGTGCAAATCTTCCACATCTCCTGTAGACTTCAGATCGGGTTCACTCACCTCGTTAGGTACAAATTCACACTATCGCCCTGTCAGCGTTATCAAGTACAAATCAGGAGCGACACCTTCAAGGCATCTGTGTGCATCCCTCATTTATTGCCTTGTGTTTCTGTGATTTTACAAGCACCCAACTTCCAAAGATAGCGTTTCATAACATCAACAAATTCACACTCCATTGTCATGGCAGCGATGCAAATCACCACTCATTAATCTCCCAGTGGCCCCTCGCTTTCTTTTGCTCTGTTGTTTTGGATATTTCTCAACCCTTTTCCTCCTCAGGAAACCGATTATTTCCCACGCCACAGAACTGTGCGCAACACCTCCTGAACGGAGAGACGCTGAGCGGAATTTACACCATCTACATCAACAGAGACCTCAGCCAAGGTGTGCAGGTTTACTGCGACATGACCACCGACGGAGGCGGCTGGATAGTGAGTGAGAGATCTGACTATCACATCTGAGTCTGTCTGTATTGTACTGTACGTCTGGCACAATATATGATTTACACAAAATCCCACAATGCCACATTATAGGACTGGCCCTTGTTGAAAAGACAAGCTTGGACCAGTGTTCATTTTCAGTGCTTAGTAGCCCACTGTTAGTGTTTGTATCTGTCCAGTGGGTGTCAGTGGTGCACAGATGATATAAACCCAGCTGATGCATCTTAGACGTAAAAGCTTTCTCTTTCCAGCCAGGTTGGCATCTAATGCTGAGAGTTTTGATAATAACAGGCAATTTGGGAATTTTTCAAAGACTTAGAATGCATAATAATAGAAATAATACAGTTTCTGCATCCACCATGTGTTGCCTCAACCTGTATTTCAGATTCAGGGTTGTGAAAGAATCAAGATTCTAACATAAAAATGGGTTCCACACTGCTATAGATAGCAGCTTCCTTTTTATTAAAATTACCTGCTCAATATCCTCTGCATACAGAGCAACCTTGATGCGACTTCATTAAAACACTACTGTGCTGTATAATTCACATTACACATTGCTTAAAATGTGACTTTTCCTGGAAAAGGATGAGTATTGAATCAAATGTTTCATATTTCAGGATATTTCTCAACCCTTTTCCTCCTCAGGAAACCGATTATTTCCCACGCCACAGAACTGTGCGCAACACCTCCTGAACGGAGAGACGCTGAGCGGAATTTACACCATCTACATCAACAGAGACCTCAGCCAAGGTGTGCAGGTTTACTGCGACATGACCACCGACGGAGGCGGCTGGATAGTGAGTGAGAGATCTGACTATCACATCTGAGTCTGTCTGTATTGTACTGTACGTCTGGCACAATATATGATTTACACAAAATCCCACAATGCCACATTATAGGACTGGCCCTTGTTGAAAAGACAAGCTTGGACCAGTGTTCATTTTCAGTGCTGGCATAACCAATGCTGTTCACAAGCTAGATGATCAGCATGCTTTTTCTGGTGATTCAGGTTAACCAACCAAATCTTAAGGTAGGTGAGGACTTGGTGTCAACACCAGGGCAACTACATCCATCCAAAATCAACTTTTTGCTAGGTCTGTCTGGCAGGTGAATTGAGAAAATGTACGGGCCATAAAAACGTCGTACCGGCCAAAAAACTGTAGTAATGTAAAATATAAAAACTGAAAATAATTGTATTAATAAAATCAATTACTAATTATATAAAAAATTATATTTTTGTAACTATGGTTGTTATTAATTATAATTATTATTTTGCTATTTTTATTTTATTTTTTATTATAGTTATTTGGTTAAATTCATTCATTTATTTATTATCTATGCATTTATTTTATTATTTAGACATTTTTAGCATATACAAGATAATATTTTTATTGTCACAAACAAGATAAGCCAATCTCTACCAATCACTGAAAGCACATGGAGGTCTGGAGAAAAAAAAAACTTATGATAAATGTTTCCACTGAAGAAAAATGTATTGAGTTTCTTTCATAGTGGGTATAGAAAAGAATCAATCCCCTTTAAATTAATCACATTTTGTTGCTTTGCAGCCTGAGATGAAGACGGACACAGTGGCCAAAAAACTGTAGTAATGTAAAATATAAAAACTGAAAATAATTGTATTAATAAAATCAATTACTAATTATATAAAAAATTATATTTTTGTAACTATGGTTGTTATTAATTATAATTATTATTTAGCTATTTTTATTTTATTTTTTATTATAGTTATTTGGTTAAATTCATACATTTATTTATTATCTATGCATTTATTTTATTATTTAGACAGTTTTAGCATATACAAGATAATATTTTTATTGTCACAAACAAGATAAGCCAATCTCTACCAATCACTGAAAGCACATGGAGGTCTGGAGAAAAAAAAAACTTATGATAAATGTTTCCACTGAAGAAAAATGTATTGAGTTTCTTTCATAGTGGGTATAGAAAAGAATCAATCCCCTTTAAATTAATCACATTTTGTTGCTTTGCAGCCTGAGATGAAGACGGACACAGTTTTTGTTTTATCCTTGTGGCAGTATTTTGTTGAACCACCTTTTGCTTTAATTACAGCCTTTAGTCTTTTGGGATTTGTCTCTGTCTCTACTAAGTTTGCACATCTAGACTTTGCAATATTTGCCAACTTTTCATTTCAGAACTGCTCAAGTTCAGTTCAATTTGATGGTGAGTGTTTATGGACTGCAGTCTTCAAGTCATTCCACAGACTTTCAGTGGGGTGTGGACTGCAGTCTTCAAGTCATTCCACAGATTTTCAATGGGGTTTAAGTCTGGGCTCTGACTAGCCCATGCAAGGACATCCACCTTTTTCTCCTTCAGCCACTGTGTGGTCAGTTTTGCAGTGTGCTTTCGGTCATTGACATGTTAGAAGGTAAACCTTCTTCCCATTGACAACTTTCTGGCAGAGGGCAGCAGATTTTCCAAGAATTTGACAGTATTTTGCCCCATTCATTTTTCCTTCTATCCTGACAAGTGCTCCAGTCCCTGCTGCAGAGAAACACCCCATAACAAGATATTACCACCTCCATGCTTTACTGTAGGAGTGCTGTTATTTGGATGGTGAGCTGTATTGGATTATTGCCATACATCGTTTGGTGTTGAGGCCAAATAATTCAATTTTAGTCTCATCTGCCTCAGAATCTTCAAGGTGTGTTTTGGCAAAGCTCGGTCGTGACTGCATGTGGCCTTTCTTGAGGAGTGGCTTTTTTCTCGCAACCCACCCATACCAGCCACATTTGTGGAGCATATGTGATGTTGTTGTCACATGCACACAATGACCACTCTTTAATAAATTCTTGCGACTGCTTCAGAGTTGCTGTAGGCCTCTTGGTCGCCTCTCTGACCAGTTTCCTCTTCTTTCATCCAGTTTGGAGCGACGTCCTGATCCAGGGAGGGTCTGTGTTGTACCAAATACCCTCCACTTCTTAATAATAGACTTTACTGTGCTTCTAGACATTGATAAAGCCTTTGAAATGTTTTTGTATCCATCTCCTGACTTTATCCCAGAGATCTTTTGACGGTGCCTTGCCACCCATAGTTGATTGTTTGCTTCAGTTGCACTACCAAGGACTGAAATGCTCCAGGAAA